GTGGTGCTGATTATGAAGATGTAGTTAAATGGTTATCAGATGTGAAGGAAGTTTTTACTAGAACACAACTACAACCATCCAACAGATATATAGCTGTTCAATCGTATCTAACTGATTCTGCTGAAAAATGGTTTCGACATAATAAATCTAATATTCTTGATTGGTCTACATTTAAAATTGAACTTGTTAAAGTTTATAACCCATCACTTCATCAACTTTTATTAAAAATGGAACAACGAGTCCAATTATCCACTGAATGTGTTATGGATTATTATTGCGATAAAATTTATTTATGTTCTCAGGTGGACCCTGACATGAGTTTCCCAATGATTATTCATTATTTGACTAAAGGCTTAAAACCCTCATTAATAGCTCATGTTATTCATAGAAATCCTACGACACCTAATGCATTTCGTGTTTTTGCTCAAGATGAAGAAAAAATCTTACTTACATTAAATGGTTTCTCTTATGCTACACCAACTGAACATTATACTTATCCAAATGACAATATTGATATGGATCATCAAGTGAATATTATTAAACGTCCAGTTAATCTGAACAATCAATCCGTTAATTGGCAACATTATCAATCAGCTCCTCAACCACTTATGAATGTACCAACCACTGCATCTTCGTCTTCCTTTTATCGTCCTTCCTCAGCTACATCACGTCAATGCTATGCATGTCATGGTTTTGGACATATTGCTCAATACTGTTCACATCGAAAAAACATCTAATGAGGTATCTAGACGGTGGTACCTCTACAATCAAGAAAAAACCATCACATTCTTCATCCTCATCAATTTATGTTCCCTTCAATCATGTACCTACTACTATTTTAGTTGATACAGGTGCTGCAATTTCTCTAATTCATCATCAAATATTATCTAATATGCAACACACTCCTATTATTCCTTGTTCATTAAAAGAAGTTCATACAGCAAATTGTGGTTTCATCGCTCTCATTAGTATAGTTAAACTTGATGTTCAAATTCATCATATTCACACTCAAGCAGATGCATATGTTACACATGATCTTATTTGTCCTCTGATTTTAGGTCGTGATTGGATTCAAAACAATTATGTTAATATTAATTTCTATACCAATCGTATTTATCTCTTTAATGGTCTTGCTTCAACTGCTTT